ATTCAGATTTTTGGTTGTGTAGGGAAGTGTTTGTGGAGAAGATACATTTAGGTATGTAAACTTAACTAATTGTAGAAAGATTTGCTAAGATTTAAATATGATTAATGTGATAAGTGTGCAATCTATTTTATAAAACAGAGAACAATAGGGTTTCAAAGGGTTTGGAAGAAGGATCTAAAAGAAGAATAGAGATACAGTTGGAGAAAAGGAATCTGGAAAGAAAGGTAATGATAGCGATTCATTATCTTTTCTAGAATATAAAATCAGTAAAGTTTATAGTAATGTATTATAATTCTTATATCTAGATGTATCAGACTTATAATGCAGAGAGGAGAATCTGAATTTGTTTATCAAAGGAGAAAGTTACAAGGTGTAGGTTTGGAAGAGACCACTCATCAAGAAGGTAAGTTATGTAAATCCTAACTTATAAATGTAAGAGTTAATATTCCTAGATAAATTTATGATATCTCTTGACTTAATTGAGTTGATGAATGCAATATGAAGATATAAAAATGCAAGTGATTAGATTCCATGATTTCATGTATCATTGAAATGTAACATAAGATTTATGTTGATTCTTGTAATGTTTTCTAGTTGTTTATAAATTAAAAAGGGCCCAATTAATGTCATGTTGCCTACACATTATTGCATGCAAATGATAAGAGACACATTCTTATATAACTTGGTCATGACCAGTTCAGTATGAAGTATGAATAAGTGATGAGTACTGAATATTCATTTCAAGGTAAAGTTTGGCTAAAGATTTATGTATGACTTACCAATGCAGATGGGACAAAAGGGTTTCCATATATTAAACTGTTTGGTAAGTGGGGCAAAAGGGACCCCAAAGAAATGGAAACTGCATTTAGCAGGTGGGGCAAATGGGACCCCAAAGAGGCAAAAGGGACCTCTATGTGATTCAATGGCGATAATGCCAGGTTTACCTGGGCTCCATTGAATATGTTATGAATGATAAGCCAAAATTTATATGACTCTAATGAATATTCAGTATAGATTCAAGAAATAAAGGTTAATGTCAAAGTAGATCTTATTTAAATTCTCATGCAAATTTTAAATGTTATTTCTAGTTGCATAACTTATGGGGCCTTATAGCTCACCAGTATTTTATTGCTGGCTGTTGTTACAGGTAAAGGAAAACAAAAAGTGGGATAAGACTAGTTTGCAAGTATTTACATTTATGTTAATGTTTATTTTATGTTTGAGATCTACTCTTGAGGTTAGTTTGTAGTTTAAAGGTTGTATTACTTTGAAATGGTTTGGAATTCGTTAGTGGCTCTGTACTAAGTCTTTGATGAAATTTGGGAATTTTTAGATGCTTCCTTTGTTGTACTAAATGAGGTTTATATGATTTTTATTTAAAATC